TATTCTATTCTATTCTATTCTATTCTATTCTATTCTATTCTATTCTACTCTATTCTACTCTACTCTACTCTACTCTACTCTACTCTACAAGCAGGAGACCCTACACCATTTCTGACGGATGGCAGTCCAGTCTCCTCTTGAAAGCTTCCAGTGATGAAGCTCCCACAACTTCTGAAGGCAACCTCTGTTCCATTCTCACTGTCAGAAAATTTCTCCTTATTTCCAGGTTGAATCTCTCCTTGTTCAGTTTCCATCCATTATTCCTTGTCTAGCCTTTGGGTGCTTCAGAAAATAGCTTGACTCCTTCCTCCTCTCTGTGGCAGCCCCTCAAATATTGGAAGACTGCTATCATGTCTCCCCTGGTCCTTCTCTTCCTTAGACTAGCCAAGTCCAGTTCCTGTACCCGTTCATCGTATGTTTTGGCCTCCAGTCCCCTAATCAACATGCCGGGCGTTAACCTAAATGAAGCCAGTCTGGCATACATAATTCACAGTCACCTGTGACCCTGTTCCCCACCTCCCCCCTGGGTGTATCATAAATCAGATTCTCCAATGAAGCACGTTGTCGTCAATCACATTCTCCAACGAAGGATTTTCTCAGGCAGAAGCCGCCTTGAGTCGCCATGTGTGATTAGACGGCAGTATAAATTTCCAAATGAATAAATAAATAAAATGCAGCCTGGATCAGCCATGGGCCACTCACGCTTTCTCTCCCATCACCCTCTTTCCCCTATCACGCCCTCCCTTTCTCCCTCCCCAAAACTTACGACTTATTATGGTCATAACGGTGGTTTTGCACATCTGCTGGTGCTCTTTACATGTTTCCGTATCCCAGCAGTCGCTGTTCCCGTTACAGGAGTAGCATTGAAGGGCAACAACTATTAGAAGAAGTTGAAAGGGAAGTCATTAGTAAAGCAGGGGGCAACAGGTAGGCCTCAGCTTACAGCTACAATTGGTGCAGTTGTTAAGTGAAACATAGGGCTGTTTAGAGCAAGGGTCTTCAAACTTGGCAAGTTTAAGACTTGTGGACTTCAACTCCCAGAATTCCTGAGCTAACGTGACTGGAGGAGGAATTCTGGGAGTTGGAGGCCACAAGTCTTAAAGCTGTCAAGTTCGAGGACCTCTGGATTGCCTGCTTGCCCTGATGGCTTTTGCTTGTGACTGGGTTGGGAAAGTCACAAATGATGATCACCTGATGCAGCCCCATGCGGCAAACCTTATAAATGCATGCCATTTGCCAAACGACCAAATCACGGGACCAGGAGATATTGCAATGGCCATAAGTGTGATGACCGATTGTAAGCCCCTTTTTTCAGTGGCATTGTAACTTCAAATGGTTGCTAACAAATTTTTGTAAATCGAGGACTATCTGCAGAAGGCCTCTGTAAAACAGGGATATTGGGAACAGACTTCTCTACAGGAACTATTTATTTCCTTCCTTCCTTCCTTCCTTCCTTCCTTCCTTCCTTCCTTCCTTCCTTCCTTCCTTCCTTCCTTCCTTTTCCCTGTTCCTTCCTCCTTCCTTCCTTCCTTCTTTTCTCTTTTTCTCCTTCCTTCTTTTCCTTTTTCCTCCTTCCTTCCTTCTTTCTTTACCCTTTTCCTTCCTCCTTCCTTCTTTACCCTTTTTCTTCCTCCTTCCTTCTTTCCTTCCTTCCTTCTTTTCCCTTTCCTTCCTTCCTTCTTTTCCCTTTTCCTTCTTCCTTCCCTTCCTTCCTTCCTTTTCCCTTTCCCTTCTTCCTTCCTTTGTTTACTTCCTTCTTTTCCCTTTCCTTCCTTTCTTTCCTTCCTTCTTCTCCCTTTTCCTTCTTCCTTCCTTTCTTCTTTTCTCTTTCCTTCCTTCCTTCCTTCCTTCCTTCCTTCCTTCCTTCCTTCCTTCCTTCCTTCCTTCCTTCCTTCCTTCCCTTCCCATCCCTTCCCTTCCCTTCCCTTCCCTTCCCTTCCTTTTATTTTTCATACTTCTTAATTGCCCATTCTTAACTGCGCATCTTCCTCAGATGTATGCTCCTCCGTTTATGTAAGCCATGGGTTTGTTGAACTGTGGCCAGTTCAAGAAATCATAATTGGTGGAACACACTAAGCCAGGAATTCTTCTAATCTAAGCTATGTATGGTCTATTGAGAACCACGTTGCAAAAGAGGGCAGGTCCAAAATGAATGTATGTGGTGGTAGGGTTGAAATGGGTGCTTTAAAAAAAATTAAGACACTTTTTTATTCCTTAGGTGGGCAAGCATGGAAAGGGAGATCAGCAAACAATGAAATAGGTATTACAGTGTCATGGTACCTATTCAGCTCCTATCATCCCATTTTCATGATGTCTTACATAAGTATTTAAGGAGTGGAATTTGCATTGTGATTTTATGATGCAAGTTCCATTCTCTTGAAGAAATGCCAGTTTGCTACTGATAACCCTGGACAGTAATGTCCACAGTGCCAACCACATTAAAAAAACAAAAACACAAGCACAAAAATATTTGGCCTTACTGCTTTACAGGCCTCTAAATCTGCAAAGGAATTCAGGAGGCTGGGATCCATTTTTTAAAATATACTACTGCACAAAGCTGTAACTGCAGTCCTTGTTTCTGGGATTATCAGACAGATTGAAATTCATAAATATTTTCCATCTTTGAAAATGCTCCAGGATCAGAGTTTTACTGGTTTTCAGCCACTCTTGTTGGGGAATTCTGGGAGTTGAAGTCCGCATCTCTTAAAATTGTCAAGGTTTCAAATTTTCTAGCCACCCATAACTTGCAGGGGAAAGTGAGGAAGTGAGCAAGCCATTATTTTTAGTTGCTAATTTTTACCTTTTGCATTGTCCCTAAACAAGCAAATCGATCCGTGCTTGATTTGCCTTTGGGTTGTTCATGATTTTAAAAAAAAATTAAATAAACCAGGCATCTTATAAAAGCCTAAGATTTCAGGGTTAGAGTCATTTTCCCCCAGTGCCTCTGCTCAAGACTTCTGGTCTCAAGATTAGAAAACAAAACTTTTCTTCCACCTGCCATAATCTCAACAGCAGCTGGGGGCAGCCACAAGACTCCAAAGTGCCAGTTGCCTCTGGTGATCATCTGCATTTCTGCAGCCCAAACTCAAACTGTAACCATGAGGCATGACTTCCTATTGAGAATAAAAAGAGGGGGGGGGGGGTAGGAAAAACTACAATTCTGCTTCTTTCTCTCCTGCTTGCGACCTGCTCTGAAATCAGCCAGATCGATTCCCCCCACCCACCCGCAACCGATCATAAAAGAACCAAACTTTGAAAACTCCAGTGCGAAACTCATTTGGGAGCTCCGAAGAACAACTTTCATTTAACAGCCCTTTAGACAAAAGACAATACACAAAATCATTCGCATCCAACTGCCACCCATTCCACTATTTAATTCTCTCTTTCTCTCTCTCTCTCCCTCCCTCTCTTCCTTCTCTCTCTTTTCTCTCTCTCTCCTTCCTTCTTTCTCTCTCTTTCTTTCTCTTTCTCTTTCCTTCCTCCCTCCCTCCCTTTCTTTTCTCTCTCTCTTTCTTTCTCTCCTTCTCTCTCCTTCCTTTCTTCTCTCTCTCTCTTTCTCTTTCCCTCTCTCTCCTCCCTCCCTCCTTTCCTCTCTCTCTCTCTTTCCTTCTCTCTCCTTATTTCCTTCTTTCTCTCTCTCTCTCTTTCTTTCTCTTTCTCTCTCTCTCCCTCTCTCCTCCCCCTTTCTCTCTTTCCTTCTCTCTCTCTCGCCTTCCTTCCCTCTTTCTCTCTTTCTCTCTCTCTCTCTCCCTCTCCCTCC